TGTTTCTTCTGTGAAGAATGTGGACATAAAGTTAAAATGTGATCACAGAAAAAAAGTTACGGCACTGGCAAAGAATTAAAAAAAAAAAAAAAAAAAAAAAAAAAACTTCGACTCTCTCTCAGGGGGGACGGCAACCAAAAGAAGAAATATATTGAAAATATATAACGTATGGGAATAAGCTGAACGCCTATTTTAGCATCTTCTATTTCCAGATATATGATGACTTAGGTAAAGTTATCTAATATTCAAAAGCCTTTTACTGCAGTTTGGGACTCAGGGGGTTTGATTTCAGGGGGGAGCATATCAACATCAACTCATGGTAGTAATCTTGGAGATATTTTATATGGAATCCTGATCCAAGGAGGCCATTATATGCCATGGAAATGGCATGGTAGATGGAATGGAAGTTCAGGTAACCCCACATTCCACTGAAGCTACAGTGAGGTGTTGATCCTATTGAGGGGATAAACCTTTAGTGTTGTACAAGGCACTGCAATATGTCTCTACAGGCCTTGTAAACAAGGGTGCCACTGCGCTCTATGCTGGGTCAGAAGGGTAAGAGAGGCCAGGACGCCTGTGTGGCACTTGCACTGCAGTTCAGTACCAACCGTGATTGTGTGTGGATGATGAAATGGATTATTCTTGGTGAATTCATTCTTTTAAAAAACTATTGGATTCCATGTGACGCAAATAAAGTGATAACAAGGGTCTGCATCACTGTGTCTCGTGAGAAGACAAGGGAATTCATCTGTGTAAGGAAACTATTGAATGTATAGTTATTCCTTGTGTTTGTAATAACCTGAAATAATAATGATAGAGTGAATCTTATAAGAGTAAAGTTATACATAAAACTGGAAGTATTATTCTTTTCCACACACTGAGCCCGCTCCGGAGAGTGGATCAAAATCTGTTATCCAGAGGTCTACACATTAACACATTTGGGCTATATTCAACTTATTCTCAAAATTACTCAAGAGAGTATGAAGAATGTTAAAAGCAATACAGCAGCACTCAAAAGGGTACTAGATATTAGAATTTTCACACACAAAAAATATAAAATCTTGTAAGAAATCAATAAGAAATAAGTACTGAAGAAACAATTTGTCATTATGCATCATGAAGTGGCCTAAGCTTGGAAAGCATGACATAGCTAGAAAGGCAAATAATTTCCTTCATTTCCATTACATGCATATAATCAGGGGAAAAATATATATGCAAAAGTTATATTTTGCAATGAATTGCATAATGCAATTATTTTTCATAGCCTTGAACTTCAATTCAGCAAAGGTTATGTCTCTTTACATAAAAATGTCTCGCCTCTTTTCATTCACAGACTTGAATTGAATAATTAATTAATTAATGTTTGAAAATAAATGTGCTAGACATCAAAGGTCACGCAGCACTAAAGTATTGCGTCAGAAAGGGCAAAGGAGGATTAAAGATTATGATGAAATGTGTTAGATGTCAAAGGTTTAAGAACGTTATAGGATAGTAGGGTAGTGAAAAGGGGAAATAGGGGAATTAGTGCAGAAATTAGTAGAAAAGGGAGGGTAGGGCGATTGAGTGAATTACAGTGTATCTGCCACTGGGGAAGGAATAGGAAGAATGTTCAAGGAAGAATAGAGATAGCTGTTGAAGAGTAAGAGAAGAATCTGGGGGTTTGGTTTGGGTGGTATGGGTGGTTTGGGTGGTTGAGAGGATGAGGTATTTTGGGAAGGGGTTGGTAGAATATAAGGAGGTACAGCTACTGAGTGAACTGCAGTATATCTGTGACTGTGGAAGGAGTAGGGACATTGATCAAAGAAAACAGAGGTGGCTGTTGGAGAAGTAGGAGAAGAATCCAGGGGTTGAGAAAGGGAGACTGAAGAAGGTAGTGAAGCATCAGGAAAAATGTCTGGAGAGGAGGGGTCTGGAGAAGGACACTGTTGTGATAGAGAGGATTCGTGTGAGTATTCAATTGGAAGTGGTAGAGAGGGTGTAGGAGGAAGGGGGGTGGAGAGAACTTGGGAAGGAGGAGGATGAATATCTGCAAATACTTTAAATGTAACAGGAGTAGGAACAGAGGGATTCGAGGGTGGAGTGTTCCCTTGGGTCATCTTTAAGAAGTTTTGGATGCCTTCAAGGGTTTCTGGAGGGGAATTTAGTATAGAGTACTGAGAAATAAAGGTTCTCTTATAACGAGGGGAAGAGGAGATGGATATCTGAAGAACAGATGAATAAGTTTTGGTATAAGTTGAGAGAGAACAACGTCGTCATGCTTCCTGTCTGGCCTCACATAGAGTGAGCCCTAGTTTAAATCTGAGGACTGCTACCTCACATTCAAACTTATAGGCAGGGCAGCTCCTATAAAACATATTATGGGAGTCTCCACAATTGGCACTGTACGAGACTGAGCAGGGCAATTTGAACGGCCATGACCAGGTTGGGCACATAGAGCGCAGCGGGCTGTGGAGCGACAATGTTTGGCTGGCTGGCCAAAACGCCAACATTTTTGACATTGACTAAGAAGGGGTCAATATTGTCGGACATGATAAGACAATCCACCAATATAAATGTCATGGGGGTGGTCTTGTCTAGGGAAGCAAATCTTGGCAATATTGACGTGGGATTTACATTGGCCTCTAGGAAGAAGAGTGTAACATTGTACTGCCACTGCATCATATTCACCAAGGCAGGAAAGTAGGTCATTTTCACAGTCTGACCAGTCCTTGTTGTACATGGGACAAGCATTTGGGGGAATGGAAACAGTTCCAGTGCAAATAGTAAGAGGTGGGTGAGGTTCAGCAGGAATGGGTTTGCCAGTAAGGTCAGTTAGGATAGCCTGTGCATGAGGTTGGCCTTCAGATGTAACCGTGACAAGGCGTGAACAATCAGAGCAATTGCGAAAGGTAACCTTGCCTACTTGTTTCTGGGGGCACTGCTGAAAGAGAAGGGTATTCTCAGAATAGGGGATGTGGGTGGCATCACAAAGAATTGCTCCCACTTGGCTGGGCCAAAAAAGTACTCAGAAGGTTTGCAGAGGTAGAGGTAATAGAAGGACAAAGGTGAGAGAAAGATGGGGTGGTGTGGAGTGGAGTAGTTCTGCGGGGGGGGGGGGGGGGTCAATAAGGATGAAGAGTAGTAATAAGGGAAGAGGGGGTTGACACTGAAGAGGGTTGTGCAACAGGAGATGAAGAGGAGAATGTTGGGGATGAGGAAGAGGTGTTTTTTAAGGGTTGAGTAATAACCTGTTTGTAAGAGTCGAAGAGGGGGCATTAGCATAAAAGGTCGGAGCTGTGGTCAAAGGAGGAGCAGGGGGTGGAAAACCATCAAAATCAATTTCAGATAGGCTATTTGATGAATGGGCAAGCCTTAATGCCTCTATTAAGAGTAAAGAATCTTCATTACTGGTCATGGTGAGCCTGTATAAACTGGGGAAAAGAAATGGTCTACCCCTTAGGGTCCCCATAAGGGGTAAGGGCTAAGTAATTAACCAAAGGAATACCGTGTCCATGGCTCCTGGAGGCAAAGTCAGCCTTTCATCCTTTCAGCATGGCTCTCACACCTTAGGAATGGCATAGAAGAAGGGAATAAAGAAGATACGGAAGAGGAAAGAGGAGAAGAAAAGACCAAGCAAAATTAATTGAGGCAGAGGCTAAGGCCCAAGGTAGGGGAAATCCTCTACATTGAGTCTCAGTCCTCGTCACCTAAGCCCTCCCTCGACGACAATGAGCTAAGTTTTGGGAGGGAGGGACTTGAATTCTATAAACATTATATTTATTTCGAAATAAATCTTTAAAAAAAATTGTCGTCATCATCAGGTTTAGCTAATTAGCACATATGGACTCGCCTCCTCCAACCACATCCGATGGAAGGGATCATGATGAACTGTCACATTGAGTCTTTCCATGTATGTGTTACCATAAAGCTAGGTAGTTAGGTAGCTCTTGATTTAGCCAGGACTGGTCGGCAAATCAACATCTTTTTTCCCGGACTGTGGCAAAGCCCTTTCTTTCTTACAAGATATGTTGAGCGACTTCAAGTGTCACTAATGTCAAAAACCGTCTGTCCATACAGTCCTCAAATTTCATTTATGACCTGTTTGGAACATGGCACTGCATATTTCTGAGGTGATTTGGTAAACTCCAGGATCTATCTCTTTTATTTAAGTTATATTGCTGCCTGGGTATGTGAAATCTGTTATTTTTTGTTGCCTATATTTTTAGACAGCAATCTTCGTGTGTTTACATAGAAGCCACTTTTATGTGCAAGACAATCTCTCATAAAAGCATAATTAGATCTACAGTCATATAATGTCATGTATATAAATTGCCTTCAACTTCTAGCTTTGAGGATTGTAAAACCATGATTGCTGTCACTACCAAATGAGGTTTCAAAATGAGCTAGAATACCCCCTTGTAAGACGCCAGCATCGATGTTGAAAAAAGGAATGAATCTTTTCTCTCGTTACAAATTATTAGTACAACTATTTGTATGCCTATATATTATATCTTATTTTTTACCTTAGTATTCCTATTCTATTAAATGTTTTGCATAAATCAACAAACAAAGTTGCTTTCTAGACTGATTTTACACATTCAGTTCCCAAATATTTATAGTAAACAGTTGTTTTAATTTGGTGTTAAGATCTTTTCAGATGTAATGAGGAATATATGTTTACTGCCATGAGGGTTAAGTTAATCCATAATGTTTTTTGTTATTGCTGAGTTACCTTCTTGAGAGAGGGGAATGTATAACTTCCAGTCCAGCTATTAACATGTATTAATGTATAAACAGCATTGCACAATTTCCAACATCTGCTGGTATGTTACACAGTAAGATAGGCAGTTTTGCCCTTTCTGAACTTGTTGATAACTTTTATTTGGCTTCACTGAAATTTCCTTAATAACAGGAAAGTCAATCATTCCAATATGTTATAAATTGTAATTGACTACTGTCATAATTAAAACTTTTGCTTTGATCAGATTAAAATATTAATTGTGTCTGCACTTATAAGCACATTTAAATAACTCTTCTTTCAGTTTTATTTGGAACTAGGTATGCACTAATTCCCTGTACAAGCAAAGGTTAATAACAGTCAGTATTTCTACATTTTGAAAAAAAGATCATTGTAAAGAAAAAATACATTACATATGGCAGTAACATTTCGAAACTCAGGTACAGCAGACCATAAAATGGATCAGTACTTCCATGTATCTTAAATAAAACAGTAACTAAAAGTATAAAAAAGGGAGTACCTTATATTTCATGCACAAACTTCAAAATGCTTCTAGTACCTGAACTCACATAATCCTTGAACATTGACTTTAATCTTTACTTTGTATATAAAGCCAACACTCACACTCTTAAATAACACCAGGAAATCATGTTCTCCCTGACCAGGCTGATACATGTAGAGAAATGCCACTAGAACGAGCTCTATCATTTATCCTTTTCCAGACTTATCACAGTTCCAAAGTTCATGACCACATCATGATTTGAGTTTCCTTTCTTTCTTTCTTTCTCTTGCAAATAAATCTACCCAACCAGCTGACTGATCTTCTCATAGCCAGCATTCACCAGGAACTTGAATGTGGCATCTTCCTTGAGGTCGCCCAGTTCTTCGCACTCAAGCAATTCTTCAGCGGGGAGTAGCAGTTCCTTTATGTCAGTCCCTGGGTGATTAAGAGTAATATTTAGATACTAGTAAAATCCACTTAATTAGTAATTGGCCACAGATGGAATGACACACATGCCATGTCCAAAGTAATTTTAGTTTAGTATTTGTTTTACACATATATGGCCCTACATGTGCTTACTCCTACTCCTACTCATCTCACCTGTTTACCCTTTCCCTTGATTTTTTGTAAAATTATTATTTCTTATTGTTATTAGTATTTTACTAACAATATAATATTCATAATGTCAATAATAACAGTTGACATTAACAGCAGTACAGAATGAAAATATTTTTCCTAAAAAAATTGGGGAATGGAAAAATCAGGTGAGGTCGCTAGGCCCTACTATATGACTTCTTGGTGACAGCACTTGTGGAGCCATCTGCACGCTACAAAATTTGCATAAAAACTACTGTGAATGCTACATGTACCCATGAGCAGTGGGTTAACATTCATTGCTGTATTTCAAAACAGTTCTTTAGTACAAGAAAAAGAATTCTAAAAATGCCAGGTGGTAATAACTTGATGCTACTCCCATACCTTGTGTGAATGCCAGCTCTATAGTCTTGAAAAGCAACGTGTCACTGATTGCTTCTAGAGGATTATCTGTGTCCATGTGATGCCAGGAGTTGCGAAGCACAGCACGCACCCAGATGTCTTTCTTCAGCTCTGGAATTTCTTCTCCAGGTACAAAGGCAAGCAAATCTAAGGCCTTCTTGAAGTCAAACTCATTGGCATAGGTGTTTTCATCTCCAGTATAGAGCTGTTAAAAAATATATAAATATCTACATGATGTAATACAAAGGCATAACAACTGATAATCCTCCATTTCATATAACTGCCTTTCAAATATAATGTTTCTAGTTATAGTAAAGTCAACCTAAATTTCAAGAAACCAATTTCAGTGAACATTATTACTAAATCTAACCATAAAAACATACCAATGTGAACCTCTAAAAAGGAAAAAAACATAAGACAATATAAGAACTAAGGCCACCATACTACCTTACTGAATGACTACATACATGAACAAGCTCAGTAGGTGACAGGACCCTCATGGTATCAGCCTCAAGGGAGTGCGCATTGAGGACTGGTTCAGGCAACTGCTCTTGGTACAGAATGAGTTCCTCTTCTAAGGTCATAGTGTCATCCTCCATCACACTTGTATCTGCGCTGCCTGGCACATTAGCAGCCAGGTTGCATAATTTACTTAGGCTTAACAATGTCTGCAACAAAAATAATATGAGAATATGAAATGAATCAGTTCCTTACGGCCAAACCCAATAACCCTAGAAAAAATAAGGCACCAGCCAAGCTTACCATCGATAAAATCTTTAATTGTTTATAAATAATGGCTTTGAAAATGTATTCAGCATCATCACCGTTTGATATAACAGTAGTGATAATGGTACTTGTAATGGTAATAATAAAACCAATATCTATCAAAGATCTAGAAACAAAAATACTTTCTTCATGCAAGGTTCAAAGGAAATAGTTTCACCTTACCTTCTTTCTGCTAAGGTAAGTCATCTCATCCAAACCAAGTTGACGTAGAGTGGTGGAAGCAGATGAAAAATCTCTAGTTTGGATCTGGTGCAACCATGCAAGGGAAGTGTAGTCTTGCAAGAAGCGAGAAAGGCCCCCTTGGTCACCATGGCTCAGCAAGCGACCTCGTTTACCAGTCTCCAAGTACCAACGGAACACAAAGTCCGAGAAACCCTAAAAAAGTGAAGAGAGAGGAGTTATATCCTGCAGTGAAATGTTCTCTGTGCCATTTCATGCATTTTAAGTAAACTACAAATAGACTGAGCAATAAAGATATTCAAAGAAGGAATGGCTAGTTAAAATAATTGAAAATGTTCTGTTAAAATTTAAATGAAAGGGCACTTCGAAACAGTAATACGCATAGAAGATGATTAATAAAATGAGACATTCTCATCAAAATAATTCATTGTGACAAATGTAAAAAAGGTGTAAATAAGAATGAATAATTTTAAAAAGCAAGCGACCTGATTAATGAGTCTCAATATAATATCTTTATCAGAATTACAGCATTCAGTTCTTGTGGAAATATTACAGTGATAGTCACAATTTCGCCTCTTACTTTATGAAGGTATTCATTAGCATACATTCCTTTTAAACATATTCTCATTAAATAATTATTTGGTATCTATGATACCTGATTGTGTGGAACTTATATCTATGAAAGCTAAAAGGTACAAGCTCACTTATGAATGATATATAGCCTACAAGTCAATCTTTCTTTCTTATTTATATTTGCATACCTAGACCATCACATAAAACTGATGACCAAACAATAAGTCTCTCTCTTCCCACAGGTCAGAAATCACAAATGATATGACCAAACCAAAAGTTTAGCTCTTCCCACACCTACGAAATAACACCTAAACAATGAGCAATTACACCTAACTTTTTTCTACATAGCTAAATCTTTTACTGCACACATACCTCAGAGCCAAACTGCGTCATGTACTGGCTCAGTCTTTCTTGGTTGTCGGTACGATCGCAGACTTCTACCAGCGTGCGGAAGTCACAGTACTTCTCAGCAAGTCCAACTGCTTGATCGTACTGCTCACCTTGTACTGAAAAAAGGATGGTGTTCATAAAGTTTAACAACATAATACTAGTTCTACATGGGAAACCTCTTACTATATGAGTTCATCATGGGATGGAGGTTAAAAATAAAACAAATTTATAGGGAATGGTGATGCTTAGTGAGACCTAAGCCCTAAGCTTGGGTTAACAAATTGCCATATACCCATCTCCAGTAGATGCAAGCTAGAGTCCATACCCTTCTTATCAAAGGTATGTGAAGCATGAATTTTCTACCATATTCTTCCTTTTTTCATCTTTATATTCTTGCGACAAGGGAATAAAATACTGTTTTATTCAGAACCTGAGAATTGTATATACATTTTCTAAATGAATTTTCTTATATTCTGGTTATCTTTTTACTAATTCTAACCAATAATACAGAATACATATCTTTACAAAAACTACAGACAAAAGATACAAGGAATGAATAGGAAAAAGAGAAAATTAAATAAAAGTCAAACACACTATTGCATAAAATGTAATCAATCTCACACAGCTAGTGAAAATATTACAAGGAATTCATCTATCAAATATCCTTAAATGAACTAACCAAGAGGTTGAATCAAATTGTAGCGGTCCCTCTCATATGAGCGCAGAAGGGACTGGTGCAAGTCGTGGCTAACAGATACAAGAGAGCGAAGTTGTGGCTGGTATCCAGTAAGAATGCAATCGGCAAGGTCAACCATCTGTGTGTAAAGTTTAGCTCGGGTGGCTCCATCCTCAGCTCTTGCTAGGCCAACCTGCAAAAACAGTTTAAGTTTTGTTTATCATACATTAAGGAGAATTAAAGACTTCTTCAAAAACTGAAGATAACAGACAATAATAATAATAAACATTTACTTGTAGCCATCCTAGCATAAACACTTTTTAAAATCTGAGCGACACCTATCCTCCAAGAAAGAAAAGAAAAGAAAAGAAAAGAAAGAAGAAGAAGAAAAAAAATAAATGCAGTATACTGGAGTAAACATAATGAAATGAAAATTCATCATACCTCCACTGTGGTATTGTGTTGCTCCAGCAGAAGGGTTCGCACGCCACGAGAACCCTGGGTGGCAGTCCAGGGTATGTGTTCAAGTGGAGGATCATTAGCAGTCCCTGTGATCCCAGAAATAGATGCACTGCCTACCCTGGCACTTTGTAGCAATGCTAAGACAAGGCTATTTACTGAGTGAATAGTGGCTGGAGCATCACGAGGTGCAACATCAGCAGCCAAGACCTGGAAAACAGGGATATATATTTTTATGCATTTGTTGTGAATGATAAAGACTTAACATCTGTCATAAAGTACAATGATTTATCACAAAAAACTGTCAATGAAAATTACAAATAAAGTAAATATTTATTAAATGAACTAAATTAAAGAGAAAATTAAAAATGCATATAAATCTATCTATATCATACCTCCTCTTGTGCACGTAACAATCCCCAGATGATATCTTCAATCTGGCTTACACGGCGATAAAAGAGGTCTGCATGGGTCAGTTTCCCTTTTGGAGTCTCTCCTCGCTCATTTAGAACATGCCTGCAATTTATACATGTCCTTTTAAAACCACATTAGTTTTCTTTTTGTTGTAATATTCCTAAGAGCTCTATTTTTAAGGCTTACACCATAAAACTGAAATACTTTAACATACTGGATCAGGTGACATGACTGAAACATCATGAAAAATTAGCTGAGGGACAGGTAATAGGAATATGTCATTACTGGAACATCAGGTCCAGGTTGATGGGATTGCACCATCATAAAAAAAAAAATCAACTGAAGACTAGGGTGACAGAAATGATTCATTATGAGTGCACAAAGCTTTTAGAGGAAATGAAAGGGGTTCTTGCATTATTTTCACTAATAAAAGCAGATGGGATATACTATTTGTGAGCCATGACATAAACACCAGCTCCGGATCTTATTCCTGCCTACTGTGACCGGCAGTTCAAGTGTTACAGAAAACTGAGTAATATAAAAATATTTAAAAATATCACATATAACACAAGTTATTCTCTACTCAAGGAAAACGGTATTACCATCTTCACATACCATATCAAATAACAATACAGGCCTTGGGCAATGGCAAAAAAGTGATAAAAATACTCCAAAGGATGGCAAGGAGCCTTGATACTACACATGAGGGATCATGTGGGCTGGGCTTACAAGTCACACACCTGGGAGAGTCACCACTCAAGTAAGACTATTGACCAGATTTTGGTCCACATACAGACCATGAAACACTCAACTAACCTAATAGGTTAGTTGAGTTCAAAGGACTGCAATGCTGCTTTGGTACAAAAACAACTTTTCACTGTGATAAATTCTGTTGTGGAGAACAGTCTATTGCAATTGGATTTCATGAACTCCAGATATCTAAATCTTCAATACATTTATTAAACAATCTGTGTGGAATACTACAATAATAAGGTTGGCAGACATTGGATGACATATAGCCTCAAACTACATATCTTAGTGATTACCATGATTACCACCTCCCCTAGGCGCTTGGAATAGTTTGTCTTAATCATTCACAGCACCAGAGGCTTGAACCCCCCAACTAGATCATTTATCGCACACCTTACCCGACTAAGCCTAAGACCTAGTATTATCTAAATAAGGATATATAGGTAGATATACTTCTGCAAAACATACCTAATGGCAGCATCAATGAGATGCTGATGGTCATTATGTCTTGTGCGTAGAGATGTTGCAAAAGCTAATTGCTCTGCATGTTCTGCAAGCAATACTCGAGTAAGGACTCTGGTTTCTTCTACCTGACCAACACTTAAACGCTGCCATAGTCCAGTCTGTAACCAAAATATATAATGATGAAAAACTACATTTTAACGCATCATTTGTTACATATATTCTTTCTCAATTTATTTGTGATCAACACATTTCTTTTGCTGATAAATCTAGACCTCTAAACTAAACATAATGACAACAAATCTAGTTAAATTTTAAGTATAAATTACAAATTCCCTACTTCCATTAACATAAAATATCATTTAGTAGAAACTGGAAGAACTCATCTGCGAAAACACATTTTATTTCAAGATGAAAAAGTTTCAAGATGTGTCTCTCGTACCTTATACCTCTATCATAATAAATTGTCAGCTATAACTCAACTCATAGCACTCTCACCTGGTGCAAAAAGTTAATGTAGTACTGATGAGCTGTTGTCTTGTCTCTCAGCTGATTCTGTAAAATGAGAGACATCGGAGCACCTGTGCCACCTGCCTCATTGCTCTCAGCCCAACGAGGATCTGTTGCCGGAGAATCATCCAGCAGATTGGTTGAAAGGCTGATGACGGTAGCATCTAAAGTGGAGTTGTCTGCCCCTGGGAATAGTTCATCCAGAAGAGCCTGTAGAAATGAGGATAGTAAATATATGTAATAAATGGAAGCCCTTTTCTCACTGTCACATGAGATTCTCTCTCTCTCTCTCTCTCTCTCTCTCTCTCTCTCTCTCTCTCTCTCTCTCTATATATATATATATATATATATATATATATATATAAATATATATATCTGTGTGTGTGTGAGAAAGAGTGAGAGTGAGAGTGCAAGTGTAAGTGTAAGTATAAGTATAAGTGTAAGTGTAAGTGTAAGTGTAAGTGTAAGTGTAAGTGTAAGTGAGTGTGATTGTGACTGTGTGTGCTTGTGTGTGTCCCCTTTATGTATAAGTATTGTGTATACATAGGTGTCTGTTTGTGCACATATACACCCATTTGTTTCTTTGTGTGTATATGTATGTGCCTATACAGTGAACTGAATACATACCTGAGCCTGTGGGATGTTGTTCTTGTTGAAATGCAGGAAGGCTGCCTGGAGTCGGGCTGTTTGATCCTGGCTGGCTGTGATAGCTTCCAGGCCCACACTGCTGATGTTGAGAGCCTCACAAAGCCGAGAGGTGTCTTCAGCCACACTCTCGTTCAACAACATGCTGCCATTAGAAGAACATAATGTAACTGTGTTTATATCTCTTTTTTTGATGAATGAAGGAGACAGCAAGAAAATTAGAAAGTATATAGTAATAATGACTGTCTCATTTTGGGACTTAGGTACCTTATTATTCTTACAAATAGTGCATTCAAAGTTCAACTCGACTCACTGTGGAAAAAACACTGTTACATGACTTGGCAAAGATACTACACTTACTTCTCTCCGGATATAACAAACCATCAAACAATTTACCTTGACTGATTCAGGTGCTGACTGGGTGCGATGGACACAATGCCATGGTTTGCAGAGAAGAAGAGGGGCAAGCCTTGCGATCGTCCAACACCCAGGATACTATCCCCTGCTCCAGAGAACTCCACCCGATCCCCACTGTCCCCTTCGCCTACAGCTAGTCAAAGGGAAGCACTTCAGCCATTACATCACACATCTTAATGTAAACATGAATGTAATTTCAGACATATAACTTCTTTAAAGGGTCAAGCAATTACATGAAACTAAACTCACCTGAGACACAGAGGACTGTATTCTTGTTGTAGATATATGCTGTGTTTGCACAAAGAAGGAAGCGCTGTGAGAGGAGCACATTCTCCGCAGAGTCTTGATAATATTCAGAATGCTTTAATACCGAGAAATTGCCGACTGCTAGGGGTGGAGCTGAGCCACCAGTATCCATTGTGGCTGTGGGAAAATAAAGACGTAGTTTCTTTGGTCAACTTTATGGGAGGAGCAGGTTATGAAATAAATACACATTACAAAATAAGCATTAGTTTTTACACTGAGAAAATATTTTCAAATGTACATCTAAATGTATTATGTATATAAATAAATAAAAATATAATGTATGAGAGAGATAGAGAGAGAGAGAGAGAGAGAGAGAGAGAGAGAGAGAGAGAGAGAGAGAGAGAGAGAGAGAGAGAGGAGAGAGAGAGAGAGAGAGAGAGAGAGAGGGGGGGTCCAATGTAGTCTCAACATTGCGCTGAAGGTGAAAGAATATAGAGGGTCTTCCCCTTTATCCTTGCGAAAATGATCTTCTAAAAACCTTTAAGTGAAATGCTCTTTTCTTGTACTAGTGTTTTATTTATCAGAAGCTTGAAAGTTTACCATTTCCATTAGAAAATTTCCCTTTTAATACTGAGGGCAGAAAGCTTCAATTTAAAAGTGAGTGAATGTACATTCAAAAGAGGGGGGTTCAGACCCCCCCATTCCCCCCGTGGCTCTGCCACTGGGCATGCATGTATGTGTATGCATGTATTTATGCATATCCCTGGAAGTATGTGCATGCACACATATATGTATATGGATGCATGCATGTATGTATACATACATGTATGTGTATGCATGTATGTATGTTTATGCATGTACTTATGTGTATACATGTATGCACATATGAGTATACATGCATGTATGTGTATGCATGTATGTGTATGCATGTGTATGTGTATGCATGTATGTATGTGTATGCATGTATGTATGTGTATGCATGTACATATGTGTATAAATGCATGTACATATGTGTATAAATGCATGTACATATGTGTTTAACTGCATGTACTTATGTGCATAAATGTATGTATATGCATGTATGTTTGTGCATGCATGTGTATGCATGTATGTATATGTCTGCATGTATGTATGTGTATGGATATACGTATGAGTATACATGTATGTATATATGTGTATGTATGTGTATGCATATACGTATGAGTATACATGTATGTATATATGTGTATATATATGTATGTGTATATATATATATATATATATATATATATATGTATATATATATATATATATATATATATATATATATATATATATATATATATATATATGTGTGTGTGTGTGTGTATATATATGTGTATATATATGTGCATATGTACTATATATTTATATGTATATATATATATATATATATATATATATATATATATATATATATATATATTCAAAGATAGATAGACAGACATAGATATATAAATAGATCGACAGATAAAGATACATACAGATATGCATAATGCATATATATAATAATTATTAGTGTATATACATAATAATAAATAAAAGTGTGTGTGTGTGATATACAAATCTATATATCCTTCCCCCACGCAACCTTAAATAAAAAATACCCTTGCCCATCCCAATCCCATAAATGAAAGAGAAATGGAGAGATTACTTCCCTCCGCGACCGATAGATGTCAGCGCCGGCGCCCTTCGTTTGTAAACACACGAGTGACACTCCCTTCGCCTCCCCAGGTTCGATTCGGTCTATTTATTCCTATTTTCACGCCCGTATCCTGACCTTGGCCAAGGTGAGACCGTTTCTTTGTCCGTCAAGTGACTTGTGAAATATGAAACATGAAGATATGGGGAATATAGAAGCGTAATGATCGGAATCTTGGCACGATTTTCGTTTCACTTCCGTAGATGTTTAGTTTATAGCTTCTCGTGTTTTTTTTTCTTTTGCTGTTTATCTTCTGTTAGTATTGCATCATTTTCAGCTGCACTCTTCAACATTCTTACTCCCTCTCACTGAATGAATGGTTGTGTTAAATGGTTTGAAATAGTTTGGTTTCTGCACCTCCTTTGGTGGGCCTTTGTTATCTCTTTATAATTACTGCCGTTGGTATACTTCAATTTTGATATTTTCAAATTTACCTTACACCTACACACATACATTAGGTACCTGAATACCTGTATATCATTCTCAATAGGTGCATACCTCTGAATCCCTGGGATTTTTTTTTTTTTTTTTTTTTATCCTGATGTGACGAATTTGATTGATAACAGATTGACTGCTTGGTAATGATAACATTATTTATGCAAAGTACAACAATGTTATGCAAGACATGTTCCATTCAGTATTTTATCAACCTTTGGAGATTTTAATTAAAAATTTCCAACAAGCAAACCCACTTTGGTAGAGTTTACAGTACATACTGGTAAACCACAACAAATTCTAATCAATAGTTCCTTTCAAAATCTGTCCCTCATATACATTAAACATTAATTTAATAACCACTAATGAATACATGAGCAATGGTATCAGTAAGAATACTAACAGCATTGCATACAGAATAACATTACGAGTCATTTATGTTCAAGAAATTAATAATTTTCCTTAACTGACACAAAATTTTGATTAGTCTGATACATAATACAGAATAATATAAACTACAACTATAAACAATATTTCAAAATATATAGAATTACTGCACATATATTCTCTATCTTTCTGACTTGTGATCATCATTACCACATGGAGACGTACATAAATGAAGGATACTGGGCACTGGTGTTATTAAAGAATAACAACTTTGACTTTTGCTTCAATATACCACTTCTTCAACTTCTAGTTGTCATTTTTAAAATGTTAAACATCTTAGTATTCTCATGCTTTTAACCCAGATTTTTTTTTTGTTCCCCCAACAACCTCCTCCACAAATTAGTTTTTTTTTCTGCATGCAACCACTTTCATATATCATGTTTTTACTTTACCATGAATCAAATTTTAGTTCTGCATGCTTAATATAAGTCTAAATGTAGTTAGTAAATCTCCATGGAATTATCTTTTGTACAAAATATTTGTGTGAACTATTTTTTGAATAAAGAAATGATTACACTAACCCAAGACATGAAAAAAATATTTCATAATATATAAAATCTTGTCTAAATTTACATTGTACATTTTTTTTCTTTTATTCATTAACATATTTTTCTTCAAGGTTGTGACTCAAGTACTGGAACTTCAATTCACTACTAATAACAGTGCCAGTATGACCTCTGAGCATATACACAGGTTGGGAGGCAAACTTATGTTGTAGCACTTGTAGTTTGTGTAGCCTTACATAGGTTAAGATATGTATCAATAGACAAAAGTATTCAGGTAAAGAAAATGTATCACTGACTGTTGAATCTGGGCAATAAGCATCATCACATTTAAGAGAAAGTCCCCTGTTAAATTTCGTACTAGGAAGCACCTACGGCAAAATGGAAAACATCAGGCTCATCATGTGTGAATGTTTTTCTTCTAATACACCAGCTTTTAAACTATCATAACAAACTGAACTAACATGTCATACATAATTACTACCATAACCTCTATTCAATCTCACTCCTAAAATCATGTGACATAATCCTTTTATGCAGCATTCTCAAAGACCCAAAGATGTCTGCCCGAAACCAAGTTATAACCCAACAAATAAGACAAGACTGGATCAACAGGGAATATATTGAGGTAGGCAATTGGTGGTTAGTATGACACTAAACTTACAGTCCATAAAAAACATGAAGAGAAAACATAATTTGTGTTAGAATTTTCTGAACTATAGTCTCTCTTATTTTCATCCCCCCCCCCCTTTTTAACTACATTTTCTCTGGTGTTTAAAATGACTTTTTCACATACATTTTTTCTCCCATTTTAAACCAGGTCATAACTAGTAACATCAAAAGGATAGCAGAGTTTCTGAACAGTTTCGACATGTCATGCAGATCTAAGCTGAGTCAGCTGAATGAGAAACTGACAACATTGGAGCGGAGAATCGAGTACCTGGAGGCTAGGGTCACCAAAGGGGAAACACTAAATTGATCTTGGCTCTGTAATGTTGTACTGGAAAAAATATATATTGGTTTTGTAATCTACTTGCAATGAAAAGGAAAGTCTTTTGTTTTGTATAGTCATTAATGTCAATGAGTATCATCAATGCCACTTATAACATGGTAATGTGTACCTTATTTTACTTTTAAGAAAGCATTAGGGCTACATGCAAAAATGTATGTGAAAACATTTCATCCGTTTAGACATTAACCAGCATATAATCACTAAAGTCATAAATAATAATAAAAAAGATTTTATGTCTTTTAATGCTGGTACATCACTTTAAACCATTATACCAAATAGTTTGAATTTCCAAAGAGATTGTGAAACAATTTTGTGTATATATTGTTTCTTCTGTATAGTGACCTAACTCTGGAATGAATATGCAAATAGATATGACCTACTAACACAAGATTATTATTACCTGGATTCTATGAGTATTCAATGGATGCACCTATTCTGGAATCCAGTCAATTAAACAATGGAATACTGTGTTCATTTGTCTTATTTTCTGGGAAAGCCTTCACCTACTCTATCAAATTATACATGAACTCACTTTTAGTTACTATTCATGACATTTCCTACCCAAGTATGTGATTGTACTTCTTTGTAATAAATACCCATAAAACTGAGTGTTTCTCCAACCCTAATATTTTTAATATATTAAAGAAATCAAATTCAAGATTTAAGCTAGGACGCCCATTGTGGACAGAAAAACTGTAATATTGCATTCCTTTCACCCAACGATTCTACACTGTATTAACATTTTCCAAGTGCTTTCAAAATAATTGAATATTCTTCTATTTTACTTGTCATCTAATAAGTTTATTATTGTTTTCAGTGCCAAATGTGAAATAATTTTACAGCATCCTATAACTTTCAAGATGCAATACACTGGAAATAAAGGTAACAGAATGTGGTACAGGCTTTTGACCTTCATAAAACTTTGATTTCCTTTAATGGAAGTTTGCACACTGGGATTTGTAATAATAGATTTTTTTTTTCTCGTAAAATGTGATGGAGACTCCCACAAAAAATTAAGTTTTATTATTATGTAATAATCTATCTTATACTAATGAGTAGTAATTAAGGAGGGAAAGTATTGATGCTTTAGTTCATCACTAATAGTGTGATTATTAAGGCTTGAAAGATGGAAGTGGAACCCTATGGCAGAATTAATAGAGTTAGTATAAAAATGAAGAAAAATGGTTGACTGACGACATTTGGTTGTTGTTCCTAATATTGGTTTTCAAATTTAGAAATCAGTTTTACTTTAAAAGCAAGAAAAATACTGGGTAAACCTCATATTTCAAACATATCTCTTGTAATGTGCAAAAGCTCCCACACCTACCTGACAACATTCTCTCAAGTAAATGAACCATTTTGATGAATAAATAATGATTAATAAAACAACAATAATAATAACACTCACCAAGGGCATAAACCAACTGCTGTGAGACCTGTGGGTTAACTGCTGCTGTCAGAACCATGACCGATGACACCCCTGAGGTCGGCTGCATGTCAACTAACCACACCCTCAACTGTGTCGCTCCTGCTCTCTCACGGCCCTGTAGTGTGATTTCAAATAGGCAAGATTATCATACTGGTTCAGGGGATTTAAAGGGAAAATTCTTAACACCAAAGTAACACGCAATGACTGATATGCCTATGGGTTCAAAATTATCACTTTTCCTATACAAATATAACTAATACTAGAAAAAATAAGCAAATGATTAGAAGACACCATAAGTAATTACACTGACCAATTCAAATTTCACATGAAACTTATTGTGATCTGTGATGGAAGGCCTACAATCAAAAGTCCAAGCCAGCAGAGAAACAGTGAACTATGTACCCCAAGATAGGCCGACAAACTTCAACCATATTTCTGGCAAGACAGAACCAGACTGATTCTTTATTTGACATAAATCACCAGAAAGGTCTTTGTAGTCAGAACATTTGTTTGCTATTGCTTTGAAATATAGGTCTGTTGCAAACGTGCAAGCATCTTCCAAACATTTACTAAAATAATAATCTAAAAACAAACAAACAAACAAAATATATATATGGTATTTGCTCATAATATGACCATATGAAGTATTACATCCACCAATACTCTTTGTTCTCTGGCAGAAGCCAGCAGACCCACCCCAGACACGTCTATTTAGGGAGTTCTTGGAATGCTCCCTTATTTGACAATTGCTGATCCTTAACTAGCCGGAATATATATGATACAGAAACATTTGACTTTGATGGAGAACAAAGTATGGAGGCTATAAGCACAGTTTCATGGTCTTTAATAAATAACTGTGGCCTTATATTTCTACAATTACTTAAAATACCTGATAGTGTTAATTCAGGTATGCATTGTGACCATGTGTGTAATCTAGTTAAAAAAAAAATTGAGTAAATATCACACTTACCCAAACATGATCAACAAATCCTTCTCTGATGTATTTCTCAACATTACACTCATAAACAAGCTTGTCAGGTTCATTAGGGATTAGGTACCACTTCTGCAAGGAGTTGGCTGAGAGCACCAGCACTGAACGTTCATCCGACTCTGCACCAGGAACTGCTACTGCACGGACCAAGCGCTGCAAGGAAAACAATTTGCATATTGCATAATCAAAGTATTATGCAGATCACATTGGATGTATCAGTGTTCATTTAAATAGATAAAAATCCCAATCACATCATCCCTCTAACATTCAAAGAAACCTGCTGAAACATACCGCTTCTGGAGCTTGCGTGGGCATGGATCCAAACACTAGTGAGGAAACTCTGCGTGAGATACCCCCTAAGAGCCCAGCAGGAACCTTCAACTGCCTCACATTAATGGTCTGGTTTCCACCTGAGCCTTGGCCTGGCTGGATAAGCAGGGTGGTGGATGTGGTTGTGGCCAGCAGACACCCTAAGGATGATCCCAGGAACACCAGGCTGTCACACTCTTGACCCTATTCAGAAAAATAATTCTTGATGTGGTAACGAAGAAAGTATTTGGCATAAATAAAAAATATGAAAGATTAATTATGCATAAGTGCAATACTTTATAACCAATTTTTTCTTTTTTAACTTGTTCCTTAATTACCTGTAGTTCAGTGCTGACTTCAAAATATGAGCCTTCATGTGCAATACTGGGCCAGAATCTGACAAACCCCTCGGGTGATGCTGCTACACAAGCCGGTACCTATAGATAAAAAAGAATTAAAAATAATATGGTACTTTTCCTTTCTGCTTTACCTTTAACCTTCTCAAAATATATAGTTACATTTCTTATACAACAAATATTGTGAATATATCTATACCTGGCCTTCATTTGCTGCATATACAACCACCAGCTGGGCTCTGTGTGCTAAGTCTGATGGAGGCAAAGTAAGTTCCCGGAACTGGTGGTTGACAAGGCGTCGTGAGTCATCTACTTTATACCTCCACACTAAGAGACGACGGCCACACACAAGCCATGCCCAACCACACTGTGATAAAACTGCTGACATCTCCACATTTCCTAGGGAATGGCAACCATAAAAAAACATATAATACATTAAAATGATACATCTTCAAACCTGGTACTATTTCTTAAGTACCTACAAGGTGCCAGACAAATTATTTCATAGGTATCTAATAATATCTTGCTTGGGAGTCAGAAAACTTAGAGAAACTTACACCCTGCCAAATGACAACAGCATTTTATCTATAAACACGAAAAAATATTACAAAAGGAAACAAGACAGTAAACTTACGGTCAGCAAATGTCAGTGCCTCCATTACCAGAGCCGGCAAGGATGCTCCATAACTTTCAAGAGTATACTGGCCACTGCCTTCCATGAGCTGGGATGCTTGCAGAGAGCGGTTGAGAGGCGTGGAGCGACTGTGGACAAACAATAATTATATGAGTAAATAACTAGTACATCAGAAAACTGAATAAAAGTAAGAAGGGAAAAAAATATGATAAATAAATTTGCTTAGATTTCCAATTTCTATTTGTTCTTGATATAAGATGATAATCGGATATCCTGTAACTTTTATACAGTCTCTACTGTAACTACTACTACTAATACTACTAAAAAATTCCTGGGTTCTCATCAGAACTTTTTCAAAATTCAAATGCAGCATTATTATTTTTTTTTTGGCTTTGAGGCCAAAAAGAATTACTTTTTATAGGCAATGCCTATAAAATAGACAACGCTGCATGTACCAAAATGTAATTTTTAATTAAAATAAAGGTAATAATTTGTGAATACATAGTGCATTCCAGTTATTTGCTAGTTTTACAGCTTGAGGACTGATTCCATCCTCAGGGCATGACCCACAGTTGCCACAAGTACATATTTCCCATTTTAGTGATTACTAATAAAGATAAAGGTAACTCAAAATGAGTTGCAGTTCAGACAGATATACTTTTAACCACTTGCCGCCAGGGATGGCATGTGCGTAGATACCATGCCCACTGCGTGTTTAATTTAGTAATTGTTTTTACATATAGATGGCTCCACAAGACTGTCACCAATGAGCCAAGTACTAAAACTACCTGTCTCATCAATTTACCCTCTCATCAGTTTACCCTTTTCTTTGATTTTCGATATTTTCTAGTATTTGATACCGCTGTTAGTAATATCAATAACAATATAGCAATTATAATGTTTATAACAAAAATAACAGTGTCGATACTGATAGCATTAGTAAAAAAAAAAAGCATTTTCCCGCTATTTCAAGGAAAGGTGAAGTCGCAAGATCTACTAAATGACCTGCTTTGTGGCACTGGCAGAGCCCTCTATGTACAGAAACATTTAACATAATACTAAGAGGAACACAACATTTTCTCGTCAGCATTGGGTTAAGGCTCTAAATGGCAGCCATTTTGATTGTTTACAAACAGGCCGTGAAGCAAAGCAAACTACTTCAAACTCTCACCCTCTTTGCCACACAGTGCTTCATAAATTGTTTTGTCAGGTAGACCGTTAACTTGACTTTGCTACGCAACGCATGGTGTATTTTGCCCGAGTGAATGTAAAGATATTTTGCAAACGGCGGGCTCTTTTGGCACTTTTTTAATGGGCCTTTTTTTCTTTCTGCAGGGGTGGGGGTGGGCGGACCAATGCACCGGCAATTTTCATTTGTGGGTATTGATGAGAAACCAGATTTTTAAATTTAATAGGCCTAATAACAATAAAAATAAATATAAAATAACTATAACAATAAAAATATACATATATATATATATATATATATATATATATATATAATAACACTAAAAATATAAAACACAATAACAATAAAATGACAAAACAAAAAAAATCAATAACACTAAAAATAATAAACAAAATAACAATAAATACAAATAAAAACAATGAAAATAAAAATAACAATACAAATAATAATAATAATAACAAGAATAATAAAAATAAAAATAAAAATAAAAATAAAAATAAAATAACAAAAATAAAAATAATAATAATAATAAAAATAACAATAAAAAAAAATAATAAGAACAATAAAGATAACAATAAAAATAATAAAAACAATAAGAAAATGACAATAACAGCAAAAATAACAATAACAATATAAATAAAAATAAAAATAACAACAAAAATAACAATAAAAATAGCAAACAAACAAAACAAAACAATAACAATAAAAATAGCAATAACAACAACAATAATAATAATAATAATTAATATTTCTACTATTATTATCATTATTATTATTATTATCATAATGAATACCATTACCATTATTATTATCATTATCATTATTATTATCATTATAATTATTATTATCATGAATACCATTACCATTAATATTATTATTATCATAATTATTATCCTTATTATTACTATTATTATTATTATTATTATTATTATTATTACTATTATTATTACTATTACCATTATTATCATTATTATTACCATTACATAATAATAATAATATGAATATGACCAATAACAATAATTATGAAAAATTATGGTTGTGATTAAGATAGTGATGATTCTGAGAATAATTATGAAAATGTGCATGACATTATGAGAATAATTATGAAAATATGGATGACAAAGACAATATAAATGAAAATGATACTGATAATGATTATATTAAATATTCCTCTCACCCTGGTGTTGTAAATGGTGATCGCCTCGCACTGGTATTGAAGCCAACTGCACTGCGTCTACGTGCAGCAGCTGCTGCTGCTGCTCTTGCACTCGCAGATGTGAAGGAAGTATTGACTGCCCCTCCCCCTCCTCGGTCTGAGACTGGAGTGTACATTTTGCAAATAGGACTGGAGATCTGCAACAGAATCTTGCATAAATGTCTGGAACTTCTCCCTAACCTTTGGTTGTTTTGTACAGAGTACATATGTTTTGGGAATAAACAACATTAATGAAAATGCTATAAATTAAGCCTAATTAAATCAGACTAAAAATATAATAATCATTAATAACATGACCATAGAATAGAACACTGAAAAGTGCTTGTGGGAATTCCATCACTTTATGCAACTGACGTTACAGTCCTGTCATGACAAAATCTGGGTTGAAGGCTGGGTAAAGTGAAGATGCCATCATAGGGCAAAATGGCCACAGGCCAGGTGATGCCAACTTGTCGTCATGAGCGAAGGCCAGGGTGATGGAAAAAACTTGCCAAGAGTGCACAAACCTCTTGGAGGTGATTTGACTAATTTGGCACTTAGGAGGGAGCTTTAGCATTATTTCTATCGATAAACCAATGTGGGATGTAACATGCATAAGCCATGACTAGAAGAGCACCAGCTCCAGGGAGGACAGCATTTTCATGCTGTACACTGTATTCCTGGCCGCTGTAACCGGTGGTACAGGTTGTATTACGGAAAATTGAAAATTACAAAAAGAGATATATGACACAAAATAACCAAATGTTCCATACTATGTTTATTTACTACATAGAGAGATGATATGGAGTCTGCACAAGAAAAATAAGCTATTGCCACCTTGATAAAACAAATCAAGGCTAATATGGACATTGGAAAATGGCAAAACGGCTAAAAAAGTTTACACAAAATAACAGAGTTTTATTACTGCTCATGGCTGTTTGCGCGCAACTGGCCTACGCACCACATGCCCAGGATGTTGGCAACTTATGAAACCCACTGCCCATATTTTCGGCAATGTGATTTACGTGACAACCGGATCCATTGGGTTAATGTAATGCGGTGAGCATAATTCTAGCTTGATGAACCAGACATTTGAATGGCTAGCTAAAATGCATTATAGTATATAACTCATTATAATTTATATAAAACTTTTTAAATTTTGTTTTACGTTGGTATTGTCACAGATGAAATGTCGTATTAAACTCTGATGACTTATATCTTATATCTTATGATCTGTTAACTTATATATTGGTAGGACCTTGTATTACTTTATGCTATGGTAATAATTTTTGTTTACAAAATAACCATACTTTGAATATCAGAAAACTGTAAGAGACAAACAACAGTATATGAAGATGTTATTGATTTCACAAAATAAGGTAACATTGGCATAAAAAGAAAAGAAGAAAAAAAATCATGTGTGCCCACATTTTCCTTGCATACATGTGCCATCCTTTCCAGTGGCAATTAGAGTGTCTCGTGATGTGAAGCGACACCATAAGCTGTCTTGTGATCAGAGGCGAAACAGGCCTCTAAGCTCCACCCATTTCTATGACATAATGGGAATGGCCACAGTTGGCGGCTTGCTATTTTACTCTACTTGTTATTTTTCCGACAGGTACACAATATTTAGGAATATGATATTCAAGATGGTTTTTGATATCTTATGGTGGGCAGTGCAGTGTTATAGATATCCAATGTAAGTACAAATATGCATGAAATATTTGAAGAAGGAGTAATGCATCTGGTAACTTGATAAAGGTTTACCGCCTGCTCAATTCCTGTCGCGTGATTCGAGCGTTTCCTGTAACCGCTGGAAAAGATGGCAATAATCTGAGAAATATCTAATAGACAGAGATTTGTGTATATAAAACAATACTGAGACAGATATATGTGTTCATTCTGAGTATAATCATTAGATAAAGATTTACTCCTATCAAAATTACAATTTGAACAGCAGGCTGATATCTTCTATAATCAAGACATATGTTGGTATGCTGGATGATATCTTTTCACTACATCTCTACTCTTTCAAATTCATTAATTCGTTATGCCAGAGAATGAAGAGACGAAAAGCAAAAATTAACACGAATTCAAAAATTTCCGTCTCTTTAAAAACTCATAAGTCGGTTACTCTTTTTCTTCGAACATACTGACAAATCACTTCAAAGATACAATGACAACATTATAAAGTTATATTCTCACATCAGATAATAAAGCAAAGTAAAAAAAATCACTGGATATAAACGTTGGATCTCTTCCCGCCGATGTCTTCAACTCAAATCACAACAAATGTGGACCGGGTCGTTTTCGTTACGAATGCACGTGAATCCGGTACAAAAGTTATGCGAACGATTGAATCAAAGAGTTTATTTCGCATTGATAATGATGATATGGACCATGTGATAATTGGAGTTTTAGAATATCTTGTTTCATCTATTTTCATGAATTATCCTCTTCATAATAAACACCTTCCGCATCAGACTAAATTTATGCGAACGATATACATTTCATAGTAAAGTTGACTTTTAATATGTCGTTGGGCTGTGTTTTATTTCACATATCCACCAAATCTTGCAATGTTTTTTTTTTTTTTAATAATCTGCATTTTTTTTAACCTAAAATGACTCGGGAGATAAGTAATGGTATTCTTTTCCTGCAACATATTGCTGAAACATGGAAAGTAATGGATTTCTTCCTTTAGTACAAGGTCATCGTGACGTCAACAGAGCTGTCACGTGATCAATCGGAAGCAGTGATGAGCAAAAACAACAACAAAATCCCACGAACTTCGTTACTAAGTATTGGACACGTGTGTCCAAGGGCGAGCTGAAGCGTTAACGAGGAAGGAAGGGGTGGCAATGCACAAGAAGCAGAGGGGGTGGGGTGTGTTGGGAGGACGAGATGTTGAGGAAACATGAGGAGGAAGATGGATGTCAGCAGTCACTTTGATGGTAGAGGGAATGGGAGTAGAGAGATCGGGGGAGGATGAGGAATGAGCGTATTTATGGGGTTTACGAATTAGAACATTTTGTATGACCTTAAGAGTTTCTGAAAGCGACTTGGGAGAGGAGGTCGGAGTAGCAAAGGGCTTCGTATGAGGGGGGGGGGAGGAGACAGACGTCGGAGGAGCAGAGGAAGTGGTAGATGTAGGAGAGAATGGGGTAGAAGACGGGTTGGAATGTTTTGATTGATGCGACAGGTAGTGCAAGAAGGAAGGGTATATACCGAGGAAGTGGTAAAAGTTGAAGTGTCTGGATGTAGAATGGCAAAATATTTGACTGGGAGAGGAAGCTTTTAGAAGTGGGAATGTGAGCAGTAGGATGAAGATATACTGGAGATGTAGAAAAATCTTGAAGGAAGGGGGATGGGCAGATTGAAGGAGAGCACTGGAGTAGGGAGGAAGATAAAAGTCTCGCCTGCTTGAGAACTGTCACTTTAGACTCGAATTGTTGGTCAGTCCCTATAAAATACATGATAGGAGATAAAACAATTGGCACAAGCAGTTTGGGTTGGGCACACACCGGGTAACGGTCTAGGTGACCAAGACGCCAGAATTTCTAACACTGATGGGGGGAGGGGGGGGGGTATGATTGGGCACGGCAGGATTCTCCACCAATATGAATATCATATCATGTCCATGGAAAGTAATCTTGGTAATACTGACGGAGGACTTACGACGGCCTGTAGGGGAACAGTGTATTGGTACTACACAGAGGCGCGCCACTACAGTTTTTTCTTGGGAGGGGGAGTGAAGTGAATACTCAATTTCTGGGGCACTGCGGCTCCCCTGGGAATCTTTTTGCAATGAGTCATTCTAGGAGTAATTTAAGCTACGAATAGAACTATAAAGGTGTAATTTCGGGGGGGGGGGGTCTTGAGGCCATAGCCGGGAAAGTAAGAGTCATACAGCACAATGATAAAGTACTGTGGCGAAAAAGTTAAACAATGGTTAACAATTAGGACAAACTATGTTAAATGCCAAAGGTTGCAGGGCACTGTAGGTTAGTATGGTAGTGAAAAGGGTAAAGTGGTAAGAGCAAACGGAGTTCAAAGGCCGTTTAGGATGAACACAAAAACCAGGCTTTCATCCTTTCAACACAGCTCTCACACTTTGGGATGTGCAGTGAAGAGAAGGAAAGGGAAATGGGAAAAGAAAAAGCCATGCTAAATGAATAGAGGCGAGGGCTGAGGTCCAAGGTAGGAATGATCCCCTACATTGGGCCTCGGTTTCCGTCTCCTAAGCACCCCCATACACACACGACAACGACCAAGGGACGGGGGTGGGTGGGGGGGGGGGTACTACATCGCAGTCAACAAGGTAGGTAAGTCTTCTCCACAATCTAATCCTTGTCGTAGACTGGGCAATCTGCCGGGGAGATAGGGACAGTTCTGGTACAAGTATAGAGGGTGGGATGATACTGGGCAGGAATAGGTTTGCCAGGGAAGTCAATCAGGGTAGATAATACTTAAGCTTGGGACTCGGATATAACTCTCTAATAAAGCGAGAAAGCGTTAAGTAATTTTGCTTGTTTGCTGTTGTAGACATTGCTGGAAGAGGAAGGTGTCAAAGTAGGAGGCTGCTGGGGGAATCACAAAAATCGGCAACATGACGGTGACGAACCGTTTGGTGTTAAACATTTATTTCGGGTTAGTGTTCGGGAACCCAATATTTCCACTGAAGATACCGCTGTAAGAGGTCCATCTGATCACATGGAAGAAATTCCGATGACGTGATGAATAATGTGAATCGGCCCTTATACGAATTATGCGGCATTAGTGACTAAACCTAGAAATCTTTGCCATGCTGTAGGTGTAATTGGATTTTTGTTCCTGTTAGTACCTATGTAAATAGATATAACTTTGGGAGTAATATTAAAAAAAAAAAAAAAAAAAACGTAATAAAACAAGGCTATTGCTCAAATATGCAAACAACCTTCTGAAAATCGGCATTACCAGTAATTTGCCAGTTACAAAGACAATTCCAATTTGCCAGAGCAATTGCACGTGATTTTGACAACACGACAAAATAATTGGATGACTTTGATGAAGCCTGTTTCTTCTGCCTGTTTTGAGCTTCATAAAACCAAGATTTTATTTAAATCAGATGCACAGCCAAAGAAAATGTCTGATAAAAAAGATTGTCACTCTTTCCCAAAGATTCTGTTTGTATACATTCGCCGAGGCGAGCGCAAAGCAGTAAAGTGGCCACTTTTATGCTGCGTTCTGAACTCGTCCTGCTCGTTCAGACAAGTTGGACTAAGGAGGCTGTTGCGCTCGGAACTCCTCGTCTTGCTGGTCCAGACTTTGTCCAGGACCAGCAGGACAAGTGGGCCGCTTTCGGAACCTCCAAGACCCTCGCTGCCCAGAATGCAACAGGCTCGATGTAAACCTTCACTTTTTTTTTTTTTTTTTCTTAATCATACTGGCGTTTTTATTTTATACGCTGCGTAGGTTTTGCAACTCCTTTGATGCATATTTAACTTAGCTGCAACTGACAAACGGAAAAATATCATTTGATAACACCAATAAAGAGCCAAAATTACCCATCAATATCTTGCAGTTACCTGCAACTGTCAGTGTTTACATGCAAAAGCTATTATGACGTTCTCTCGTCCTGCTCGCCCAGGTTCGCAGGAGGGCGAGATGGACGAGATGGATAACTTGTCCAAGACGAAATAGTAGAGGTTCCGAACGGTCAAACATCTCGTCCAACTTGTCTGGACGAGCAGGACGAGCAGTTCCGAACGCAGAGTATATCACAGAATTCATCAGCTGTTTTATCAGACGTCTTATTTGTTACGACGTAAAAGATAAGTGTACCTACAATTACCTCAGAAAATGTGTCATAAATGATGGAAGAAGAAAGACGTAAGGAGACTATACTTAATGACATTTACTAAATAAGTATTTCTAGCTTTAATGATTCCATAGATAAATGAGGCGTAATTGAGATGGATGCCATTGGCTCTGGTAACCTAAACAGGGAACAATTAGCGACAAGCAAGGGGAGCTATAAGTAAGGGGATCATAAGTGCGTCAGAAGGAAATTCAGGTGCAACTAATTGACTGTACAGACAAGATGTCATTATTGTTTTTTATTACTCTTGTCGTTATGATACTAACAATACTAATGTCATTACAATTATTATAATTCCTATAATCATCATCATCGTATACAACAGCCTGACCATTTTCAGATTTTGCTTAAATCGAAATAAATGACGATTACTAAAGGAATGCAAAGTTTTAGCCTCGTAAATTAAAATTAAAAGGAGGGAATTAAGTTGGTTCTGAATTCTAAAACTACCAGAATAGTCTCCTGCAACTTAATTCTTCGCCCATGATTGAAAACAATTGATACAATATCTGTACGCAAGTGATCACTTAAACACAAAATGTTTTTTTAAGCTTCAAATACGTGTTGAAAAAAAGAAAACAAAAAATGTCTGTTTTACCTGACACAAGAACAAGAAGGATAATATCTATTCTCAGAACTATGATTTTCTCTTATGTAACACTGACATAATATAAGTAGATGCCCTATGTCAGGTGTTGTTGAAAAGTTTGGATTTGTCTTCATAAAAAAAATGTGTTTTTTTTCCAGACAAAAATGTCTCCATTAATATTTTGATGAAATGTTTGATAGATTTGATAATACAAATATACAATTACCTCATTAAGTATTTACAAATGTAGAACACAAACCGCTAATTCTTGGAAGTATATTACAAAATTCCATCTGATTATAGCTACCTTCGTCAGACCTGGCTTTTAAACGAATTCAGCAAGAGAAATGCAATATTTTGTTGTGCATGTTTTATTTATTATTAATTTCACGCGCTTAGTCTGTTAGTTCCAGGAGAGGAAAGATGATTCACTTACAATCATGGGTCACACATCACCACAACTAGAAATAGCTCAGTATATGCAGCAACTCGTAGGCTATTTTCAGAACCCGTATTATGTAATCTTACATGATCAACACACACATATATATATCCGCGAAGCATAAACTTGTAATGAAGCAATGTAATATATATATATATATATATATATATATATATATATATATATAATATATATATATATGTATATATATATTCGAATATATGCACATAGATATCAAGGGCGTCTTCGTAGCGAAATCCAACGTTAACGTTAAATAACAGAGCTCACAGCCTGTCTTGGGTGGTGATGTCACTGCTCGTCATAGCTGTTGATTAGTAACTGCCGGCCGTAAAAAGTAATCAGGAAAACTGTTATACATCCTCATTTCGTATTGTTCACAATGGGGACAACGAAACAGGTCA